AAATGCGTATGGTATCCAAGTACCATTCCTGTTTAAGCTCACTTTGATATTTTCCAAACAGCTTGGTGTCAAACTGAGGCAGGAGCTTGAATCCCATGTTTTACCAATCTAAAGCCTAAACATTACTGTGCTTAAAAACGAACAGCTGCTTGTGCAGGATACTACAGAACTTTGGACTTCAGCATTACAAAACAGCATTACCTTTCGTTTCTCATCATCTGGGTAGGTCCAGTAGGAGATACAATTTCCAGACAGCACACACCAGCGCCTATGCCATGCTCCAAATCCACTGACATCTTCAAACATAGTCTTAAAAACAAAAAATTAAATGGGGTAACTTTCTACCTTGAGCTTGGTCTGTACTTAACTGTTTTTCTATCAGAATGGTTCTGTAAGTGCCACCCTTCATAGGAGTAAATGAAAGAGAAGGAAAAAAGAATTATACTGAGAGAGGCTTCTACTCATACAGTATATTTATTTTCCAGATGGCATAGAAAATTAGCTCACACCATCATTCTCAGGTGTGCAGCCTTTTGCTAAAAGCCACCTATCATTGCTGTTTAAAATTACCAGATTTTCATGTCAATGGTGATAAGCATTTCCATTATTTTAAAGTAAAGATGGTTATTTATAGTATATACAGTATGGGTAGTTCTCCAAATATGTTCAAAAACCAATTTATTATTATTATTAGATATTTAAGCAATTTTTGACTTACAAATCAGGATTAAAAAACATGCAGCTATTCAAGAGGCCACACTCAAGAGAGTCCAGTCAGTTCAAAGGAAATTAGAAATTGATTTTTAAATGCTTATGTTGGCAGTTCTTCTACTGGATGCTGGATTTCATCAATTTCAAGCCCCATTTCCTTAGTACTGGAATGGAGAGTTTAGTATCTGACTTCTATTCCTGATACCTCTTGAACTTGTAAAGAACTTTTTTTCCAATTAATGTATGTATTGTGATTCTCACTCTTCACAATTCAGATTATAATTTTCAATGGTGCAGAGAATTTCCAAACCCTTACTCTGAACAAATTCAGTGTGCATGTACACCATTCTTCAGGCTTTACATATTGGATAGTAGAAGCAAATATGGACTTCCTTAAATAAGTACACAGAAACATGGGACAGCAAATACCATAAGCATATGAAATGTTTGCATCTAATGAAATCTGTTCAACTTCAATTAAGTAAAGGGAGACAGAAAGCAGTGTTTGGAAAGAGTCTAAAGAAATCGTGATTTCCGGAAACACCAAAATAACAGCACATATTAATGTTTCATTTTCCAAAGCACATTTACTGCCATCTTGTGGACATTTCAACAGTTCCAGCCCTTAGGCCAAGCATCAGCTGCATTTTCTAGGTCCAGTTTTAGAGAGAACTGCACAAGACATTGCTCAAAAAAAAATTACTGTTGTAATTTTTTGTAATTTTGTACCGTTTCTTTTTCATTTCTAAAGGCTGTGAACACAATGGAAAAACCCAATCTTTTGTTTTTATTAGAACACAAAAAGAGTCCTGGAAAATTTTCTGCCATGGAAATTAAAATCTCATCTAACATTACATATTTTAGTGAGAGAAGGTTAATTCAAAATACAAACAAATAAAGAGGCATTTAGAAGATAGATACACAAACTCTTAAAAGATAGCCTTAACTTAGACATGTTTAGAAGATAACCTAAGAAACATTTGTGATCTGGTTCAGAGATGAAAACAAAAAAAAAAACCAAAAAAACCCCCAAACCCCCCCCCCCCAAAAAAGCACCAAAAAGAAAAAAAATCAAGCCAGTTTTAAGCTTCAAACACAGGAGTGACATCAAAAAAAATACTACATTTAATAGGCCTGTAATTTCTAAGGAAGGAGTTTGAAGTGAGTGCAGTAAATACCTTACCAAGAACCCTTTCTCCTCCACCAAAGAGTCCACTTGGCATTTCAGCTTCAGATATATATGACCTTCCAAAGGAGACAAAAATGGAACCTGCAAAATGTAAAATAATTTAATTTTGACACCTCTCAACTAACTCTTACCAGTTCAAGCAAGCCACCTACACCAAGATGTTAGCACTGTCTTGCTCTTAGGACCTGCAGCCAGAAAGAAGCAGTCAGACTCAAGCAAGACAGTAATAATCACTTTTGGTTTCAAGTCCATTTAGAAGCTTTCCAATAATTATTTATTAGTTTGCTCAGGACATATATATAAACATGCACTCCTGCTATAAAAAGCAGGCACTCCAAGCATGGTTAGAAACAACAGAAGGCACCAGTCCACACCTTTCAAGCTCCTGCCTCAGTTTGACACCAAGCTGTTTGGAAAATATCAAAGTGAGCTTAAACAGGAATGGTACTTGGATACCATACGCATTTTTGGCAGATACTAATGTAGTAGTGCCTACTCAGATAAATCCTTGTATAAAAGCAAAGCTAGAAAGGGGAAAGTAATGAAAATAGTTCTCAACTGGCACTCAAGGTGTTAAAGACACCTGTTAAGTAATTTCTAACAGAAAAGTTTCCAGTCCTATCTTTTCCCACTGGAAAAAAAAAAAATTGTAGCTTCATTATTGTACCAGAAGTCAATTAAACAGTTTTTTGATAGTTAAGAGTTTTGAGGAAGAGCATGCACCAAAGCCTTTGAGCTTCCCCCAATCCCTCTACATAATGCCTCATTACTTTGACTACTCCCATGAAATCACATCCCTTCTTACTTTTTCCCCCCCTCACAAGGAAACTGATGCAAACTGCTAATTCAACAAGCAAATGATGACCTGCCCAGCATTCTACACACCATATTTTATTGCTAATCTGAATAAGCAACACAGCTAAGAACCTTGAAAATAAATTTGACAAAAATCAGAAATACTCATCTTTTATCAGAAAAGCCAGGAAGGTAACTTCACTACTCAAACACTCAAAGAACTGTTTGCCAGGGAATAGGCACAAGCACGTGTACACAGCAACAAAACAGCTTTCAGAACTATGGAATCAACTCCAATCAAATGGAACTAAATTTTGCTAGTTAAGATGAACAGAAGTAATCCTCAGTAGTTAAAAGTGCTCATCTGTGGGCCTCTGAGTCCTGCAGAACACCAAAATAGGTGTTGAGGTCAGAAATCAATCACCTTTGATTTGCAGACATCCTGTAGCTTCCTCCCGGACATAAGACACACATGCACAAGCACATCAAATAATTTTTATATGTTAGATCTACTCAGCTAACATAGCATGCATGGCTTGCTCCTGTACTCAACAGGAATAGTGTAGCACAGAAAAACTCTAAACATTAGGTAGGAGTCTGCATGACCACTTGGGAAGCAAAAACAGTAGAACACTTCCATGTAACAAAAATAAAAAAAATACAGGACGGATGCAACTTATCAGCGAAGACAACTATAACCCTACATGCCATACCAGGGAATTATGGCATATAACCCAAATAAAGCACAGTAAAACACACTTCTGAGTGAGGGCTTCAAGGACATTTGGCCATTCCCCACTTCAAGTTTAGGGGCTTTGCATCCCCTTTAAGCTTCGTATCAGAAGAGAAGAATCCAATTTATGAAGTGAAGAACTGTGACAGGCAAAGCAAAGAGGTTGTATAACAAACACAACACAGTTTTGCAGAGTCTACAACACCATCTTGTACACATAATGAGAAAATATTGAGTTCTAGTTAACAATATATCTCTTTCAAAGGTTTAAAGGTGATGGAAAGAAAGCAGTTTGACAAATATCCAGCTAGATGAGAAGAAAGCTAAAGCCCATGACTAGGCTATCTTGCATTCTGGTGTGGTCATACAGGTATTTGCCATAGGAACACAGCTTGCTGTCACAGAAGATTATCTCAAGATAACTCAAGAATTTGAAAAACTGGTTTCTTAGGAGACTTTTGATTAAAAATAGGAGATGATAGGTACTAAAATTATCACTTGCTTAATTTTGAGCAAAAACATGAAAATTCATCTAAAACAATTTCTTCTGCAGGCCTTAGGTAAACTATTAAGTAGATGGAAATGTTATCATAGGTTAAAGACAAATAATTTCTGTTATTCACATAATTTCTAAAACCAAAAAAATATACACCAAGCAAAATATTTTAAAGTGCACATTTGTGTACAAATAAGGACCTAATTTTTTGACATGTTTAGTATTTTGAAAACCTTTTGTTTGAAAAAACTAATGCCTTGATATGTCTTGTCAGAACAAGGTTAGAATAAGAAGCAAGATTATTTAGGTCCTGAGAGATTTTAAGTTTCTTCAGCAGCAACAAAGTTGAGTTAAACCAACATTTAAGGCTGCCAGACATTTTTCTCTGGTTCTCTTATCAGCACAGCAGCTGATTCTATGTTCTGTGTAGATTTCCAGAAGCTGGCTCAAATTTCCTGACTGGAAATCTTTAAGAAAAACATTTATTTGTTCTGAAGCAAGAAACACCCTTCTCTAATGATCTAGGAAGAGAAACATGCTAGTTAAGGAAAAACCCTAGGTAACCTAAATAAAACTGAGTTCTAGCAGCATGCTTATTATTGTGAAGGGCAAGGGGTAGAATTCTGCAAGTCTTAAAGGCTTCTAACATCTTGTGTTTAGTTAGTAAATCTTTGTAAGCATTTTCTCAGAAGAATAAAAAAAAAAAGCTGCAGAAAAGGCCAGACAGAAATGAGCAACATGCACTAGGAAGCAGTTTCCTATTTTAAGTTATAAACTAAAGGATCATAGCAACCTTGTCCTGGAACATATAGCCCAAGAGTTCTTTTTCCACCCCTTCAAAATTTATCTAGGGAAAAAAGAAACATGCTCAATACAATTAGTGTAAAGTAATGGTCTAGAAGAAAAAAGGACACAGTTACACCTGAGTACATTTTGGTCCTCTATACCCTGAATTTCAACCGTACATAATGTAAGAGAGGAATAGCACTCAAAAAAACCCACTATGGCATCAGTTTGCTCCATATTAGAAATGCATGAAACAAGTTAAAATGCAGCTGCTTGGTACAGCCATAGGCCAAGTCAAAATTGAAATTTTACTGAGGTAGTAATTTAACAAAAAAAACCAAAACCCAAACTAGTCATGAATAAGAATTTCCCTTTTTGCCAGATAACTGTAAGACTGCATCTGCAAAGAAATTAACCAAGTGATAGTTTCCCTGGAATTCTTTTTGAACACAGTGCTTTTGCTATATTTCACTAGTCCAGTCCACTGTCCTGTCATACAATGTAAACCAGTGAAATCCACACCTAAACTGCTGAATACAATGCAAATGCTGACTCCATTAACTCCAAGAACAAGGGGTTTCCAATAAGGAAGCTATACACAAAGATTTATGCATATAGCTCTGGTTAAGAGGAACATTTATGCTGAAGAACCCAAGCTGCTACTTCTGAAATTCACATTGCAACAGGGCAATCTAGCCATTAAGCTTGGCCAGCTGTTTCAGTAAAGGAATCTACTTGTGTATACAAAAAGTAAAACTTCTAAAATGCAAGTTTGGGTTATTAGGATATTTTGTTTTAAGGTCAATACACAAATACAACTAGTTCCTGTTTTCTCATCTCTCATCAGAAGCTGTAATTGCAATAATACTATCATCTCAATTAGATTTGATTAGCCAAAAACAAACAAAAAAAATTATTATTATGCTGCTGTTTGGGTAGCTAAAGCTGTGATTTAGTACTACCATAAGCTGTAGTAACATTTTGATTAATTTAAACTAGCTTAGGATAGCTGATGGCATAAACACCTATTAAAATAGGCCTTAGGTATTAGATATTACAAGGTTAGAGATTACAATGAATGTAAGAATGTATTTTATAAACTTCTCATAGCAAAAGGCAATAAGCATTCTGTTTAGACAAGGAACTAATGTCATAAAACCCAATAATAGCTCTCCAAAAAAAATTAAGATAATTTGCTTCTACAAATTTAATTGGGATATGAAAGGAAAAACTCGTACTCCTAAATGTATTCAAATGTTAATTTTTAGGTCAATTAAGTGCATAAAAATTCAAATACTTCATTATCATTAAAACACACTTAATGCTTTCTTTAGCAATAACTGCAAGACTAGGAGCAACAATATGAAGACCACGTATAGAGATGCCAACTGCATACATCAATTTTTTGTCAGTAAAAGCAAATCAGTAATCAAAAATAAATTCCTTCATTATCTTTGCATAACCATACCTTATACTGAGCTACAGAAATGAAAGAGCATCTGCCATAGTAATGTAAGTCTCCCTGTTTATCTCAAGATTGCATTTAATTCATATGAAATTATACGTAAGTAACAATTATGCAAAAATGTTTAATGTCTATATAAATAACATATCTCTAAACAACATGTATGTTTCATTTCTAGGATGGTACTTTCACCTGAAAAGTAAACCCAGACTCACTCACTTTTCTAGTAGTATGTAATTACCTTTGGATTAGTAATCAATAACTTCCATTACCTTGTCCAGTGCAAATTTGGTATTTCCTACAGAAGACAGTGATAACTTGTGGGATCCGACAAGGATGAAATTTGTACTGCGTATGGCATTCGGGCCACCTGGACTGGCCATGGCTGTGGAGAAGAGTTAAACTGAATTCATAACAAAACACAATCAGGATGCTGCCAGGCTTAAAAGAAGAACTTGATTTGCACTACTGTATGCATGCCCTACTCAGTACACCTGGAGAAGCACTCTTTGCAGTACAGCCCAGCAGTGCATTCAGAGAGAACCTTGATACACACCATTCCTCCTCAGTAGAGTTTTCCTTCCAGAAACAACCTTTGAGAACATCCACAAATCTGGAATCTTACTAGTTGCAGCAGCATGATACACATTCCAGATTTAGTTCATGAGCTCCTTACTGCTGCAATTTCTGCTGAAATGAGCTCAAGTATCTCACACTTTAGTCAGAGAAGTGTATAATGTTTTTATACACTTAGAAAAACACTTAAAGATGTTGTTTTTTTCTGACAAGAGTCAGAAATATATAAACAAGTATATACATGTTTTTATATATAAATATATATATATACAAAACACTACAAAAGCAATATTTTGGGATCTGTTAATATTTTCAAATTATTCTGTATTACTTTGACAGCAGACTCTAGTTCTCTACTTTACAAATTGTTAAAGTAGTTTTAATTCATACTTTCAGGGGAAAAAAATGTGAACTATGGGTATCAGATACCAGATTTTAGTTTTGATTTTGTAAAGATACCTTGGGTTAAACATAATAGTAATTCAGACATAAGCACAGGACCAGTTTCTGGGCTGGAAAATTTAGTGTTTATTACTCACAAATTGTCATCTGTTTTAAATATTTATTGATATAGTAGTTTTGACAGCAAGTGTGGATTATTCATCCTAGCATAAGATGTTTAGACTTTACTTACCTGGTGTAAGAAGGTTGCTTTTCTAGAAAGAGAGAGAAATAAAAGCTTAGTGAAAAAGTACTTCTGACAGCTTCTACAGAAGACAAAGCCAAAGTAAAAAGAAATTAGATTTGAAGTACTTTTAAAAACCCAGTCAAACAGAAAAAATAATCAAAAAGAAAGTCCAAATAAATGTGTAGTAACTGCGTATTTTCAGCATTACATACGAAACAGAGCTATTTCTGGGGCTGATGACTGAAAAATTTGGCAAAAAACTAGACAATTTATAAAGCCTTACATAAGGGACAGAAACAACCTATTATGGGTACAGCTTTAATCTGTGTGAGAACACAGCCTCTGGAAAGGGTCATAGTCAGATCTTGTTACAATATTACATTCATACCTACCGAGGTAATAGATGTCAATAATCTCTTTGGAGTAATAACCTACAAAAGAAGACAAGAAGATAAATCCATTTGCAACTGAATTTGTCCACCATAGCTGCATGAAAACTAGACAGTGAAACTACTGGAGGCTTATCTCAAATTTTGACTGGGTACTCATTACTATGAATAAGTCTTGGGTTTTGACTGGACATAATATATCTCAGTGGAAGAAATGCTAGGCATCAAAGAAATAATTACTGCAGAAAAGTTAAAGCATGCATGAACTTGGGATGATTAGCATATTTAAGAAAATCATTCTTAGTAGGCCTTTTTACCTATATAATGGGATTTCAAAGTTACATTTGCATAACTAAAGGTAAGAGTTAACAATAAAAGTATGGATATGTCAATATATTGCTGTTACACATTATTGTTTTAAAATTAAAATATCAAAGTTTAAGTGAGACTGTATATTAAACACAAACTGGAACTAAGTGCTCTTTTTGAGGATGAAAGACAAGTATAAGCAGTATATCTCCTTGTCAAAAAGGAGATATAGGATGCCACTGGCAAACCTATAATCTCGTGTCAGCAACATACTGTAGCACAAAATCATTCAGTTTCAAGTAAAAATTCCTTTAAACTACAGCACAGGAAAGAATTAAACCCTGGGACTTTAAACTTTTATTAGAGAATAGGTGGAAGCTTTCACTGTGGGAGGCTTTCACTGTACCAGATCAAAGAACAAAGAAATTTCCTATTTCTGCTTGCAGACATAGGACTTAATTACTCATTCCAACTATTTTGAAGGACACTCAAGTTTCTTGTTTTATCTTGTCAAGGAGGAAATTAGGCCTGAGGCCATTAATACACTGTGTGATCTATTAGAATTAAAAGAAGAAAAATAAAAAGTAAGCATCTAGAGCTTATACTTAATACTGGGGAGAAAGAGGAGTTTTCAGTTGATCAATTAAACCTTTAAGACAAATCAAACTCCAGGGTAGGGCATATTGACTGGCATAGTTTAATTGAAGTAGAATAAAAGGGCAATAAACTCCACACCTAATAAACACAGGTCTCCTAAGCATAGCATTTTACAGAACTAGTAAGACTTCTTCCCCACCAATATATTTCAGACTCAACCAAGTGCTGCAGGTCCAATCTACTAATTGCTGTAGGTCTCCATAATCCATCTGTCATGGCAGATGTTCCAAGAAGGGAGTAAAAGAAAGCAACAGATTGTCTAAGACTATCAGTCAGTTCTCCTAAAGCACCTTCTGTTGAAACATTACATACTGATTTTCAGGTTTCATTTACCTTAGATTTATTTGCCTTTTTCCTTTTATCAGTGCTTGTAACTTCTTTTCTCTGCACCTGTAAGGCAAGAAGGTATTGAGAAAGTGCAGCACATCATTCTCCTTTACACCTCCTCCTGACAGGAACTGATACATACCCAACTGTAAACTTCTATATTTATTTCAAAGTCATTTGACACATTGTGCCTAAAAGGGAAGAAAAAAAAACAAATTAAACAAACTGAAGCAGAAAGGTTTTTGTTTTGGTTTGTTGCAGGGTTTTGCAGGGTTGTTTGTTTTTTTTGGTTGGTTTTGTTGGGTTTTAAGCTTCTCTTTACTTCTTCCCTCCTTTTGCTCCTTATAGCTGTCCAAGGAGCAAGAAGAGTTTAGTGTTTTATCATTTTAAAATACTTTTCAGAACTCAAGAGAAGAAAAGGGGAGGGGAGGACAAGGGGCAGATAACATGCATCCACCATTTTTCAGATTGCACCCTCCCGTCACAGATTTGGTTTCTTGAGTAAATAGCTTTAAGCGAAATGTCCAGTAAAACTGAATTTTAAAAACAGAGTTTGCTTATTTATTTTGAAGACTTACTAACAAACAGCCATTTGAACTCACAATACCTTTTTAGCTGACATGTGAGAGTTGAAGTTATAGTTGTAAGAGCACTATTTTTCCAGATACCAAAACCAAATAGCTATATAAAATGTTAGTTGCTGCAAAAGAGAAAAACATATCTCAGGCACAGCAATCCATCTGTCATTGCAGGTGTTCCAGGAAAGAACAAAAGGCAGAAAATACAAGAGATAAAATAGCTGATGGATGGTTGAAGAAGTCTAGGTTGCTCTTCTGAGAGAAGTGCCTTATGCCTAATTTTTAAGAAGGAAATAGCTATACCACAAAATCTTTCCATACTTTTTTGCAGAATATGACATTCTCATTACTAAGACTTCAAACGTTTTTATGCATGCTCCACCATCAGAGTTAAAACTGGTTCAAAAAAGAATTTCTTTACCACTTACATAGTAAACGTCGTAGTAAAAGTAAGAGCATCTCCATTCAGGGAACTGGCAGTACTTGCTAATGGAGTTGCAACCATGTTTTCTGCTCCAGATCTCAGTATTATTACATAGTAGTAATTTCCTGCTTCTGTAAGTACACATCAGATGGTTTGGTTAGCCAGAGGACTCCAAGTATCTAAAAAAATTCCCAACTACTGCACTGCTATTAAGCACATCTCTCCTTCACCCTACTTAAAATATTGACAAATTAGTCAGAAGCAGATGAATTGAATGCAATAGCTAAATTTTCATTACCCCTAGATCTCTGAGAACATCAAAGCAGAAGACAAAAAAAAACAAAACCCAAGGAGAATGAATCAGAAATATGTTGGGAGAATGAGGAAGGAGGAGAAAAGGAATAAAGCTTTGTTTGCTAGTTTTACCTGGCTTTTGAACTGTACCACATACAAAGTCTGCTTTTAGAGGTAGACGCATTTCTGAAATGGAAACAGATCCCCTGGAGGGAGCAAATTCAGTGGATGTAGAAGCAGCTTTATTTCTTTTATTTTGTGGTCCTTCACTCTTCAGTTTATTCAATTCTTCCAATAAAGCCGTTCTCTTCTCAGCTGCACGAAGAAATTAATAATAGAAAATTATAGTAAAGAAAAAGTACTGAACAACTTTTTCTGTCAGACATACGTAAAATGCAACTTAAATATTAATCATTTTACAGTGTAGTAGGAATATAAGGGTCAAGAAAGTTACTTAATATGTCCTCTTGCCAACAAAAAGAGTAGAGACAAAACAGATACTATACTATCCTGTTCCTTTTTTCCAGGTGAAGAACTATTAATATATGACCACAATGTAACACAATAAGTGGGGAAGAAATTATGAACCCTATGGAAATGTTCATTACAAAGAATTGAACTTGAGTATAAAAACCTACTTGCAAAGAGAAGAAGTCTCTCTGCTTCTGCTTCTTCTTGTGACCCTTTCCCATGCTCTTCATCAAAACAGCAGTTCAGAGCTTGACTGGCTTGATAAATCACTGTCTGTTGCATGTTGATCTCATTGTTCAATTCCTAAAGTAAACCAAGAACAAAAATAATTACCAGAAAGAGATTTAGTGTTGCGTTCAAACAAAGAAAGGACTCAAGATGAGCATTTTTGGGGGTAATGCTTCAGAAGAAAATCTGATCCTTTAGACATCAAACTACAGAAGCCTTGCAGTTTGCCGTTACTTTGGCAAAAGAACATTGCAGCACAACTTTTGTTTTTATCTCAAAGGTAGGTGGGGAGTGAAAGACCCCAATATTGTATGTTCTATATCCCATCTAGTCTTCCCTTCACCTGGGGAAGCAGCAGTAGCCAGAAACTCAGCAATATAGATGAACAAAGCACTAGTAAAGATCAGAATATTAGCTACTCAAAGTAATAAAGTAGGTAAACTAAACCACTACACTAGATACAAATTCTGCCTAATTCAAAGGCAGAGCTAAGACAGATTCTCTGTCTCCTTCTCAGAAGAATGGCTTGTTCTCTCCAGACTTAATCTATAACATGATCCTTTTAAGAAAAGCATTAGCTGTTCAAATTATGCATCATCATTCCCTACCATTAGATATTTATGCTAAGCAACCTAATTTTGCAGTTCTAAGCAGTATGTTAAAGTTCTGGACGTTCATGGGGCAATTAAATTTGGAAACAGTAGATTAGAAAAAGGATTTTAAGAAGTATACCAAGTACCTGCATTTTCTTTTTGATATTGACTTGATCAGATGGACCATTTCTTCTCATCTCTAGTTTGGAAGCAACATCTTCTTTGCGAACAATTATTTGTTTTATTGAAGGACGATCAGTTTCCTTAAATCTTTGGGATCTATACGCATCGACACTTTTAAAAAAGGAAATCCCACAAAATGTTACACAGGTGTGCCAAGCTCTCTTTAAAAAAAAATATATATAGATAGATATAGATACGTATCATATATTGAAGTTTTCCAAACTTGCCTAAATGGAAAGTTTCTTTAATGAAAGCATCCTATCAGCTAATTTTAAGCAACATAAAAGACAACACAATCTTTGATAAAGGTTGAGATCTTACAAAAAAAAGCTTGATTTGTAGTTTGAGTAGTAAGCATCATTAGAAGAGTTAAAAAAGACAGTGTTTTAACATGTACACTTACAAAATCAGGGGTGGGGCATTATGTTTATTACCTGTAAGGGAGGTTGCGATCTTCTGACATAGAGCCAATACTGTCTCCAGATTCTGCCCTGGGAACTCTAATCCTTTGGAACTTCTCAGACTTCAGACTTACATCACTGATACTGCTACCTTCCTCAGTTGACTTAGGAGAACCAAAGGCCTGAGGAAAAGAAAACATTATATTACAGATATCTGTTCACATGATAATAATAATCATCTGTTTTCTCTCTCCTTTACTTGTTTTACATATAAACAGAATTTGCTTAATACTATTTAATGGATGATATTTTACAAATATGGACAAAGAGCAAGTTTATTTATTTAGGGACACTAACAGATTATGAAACTCAGTAAGATGCCACCTTTATTTTCCAAATCAGTACAGCTACCTCATTACTTCTCTTCAGATTTTTCATCAGCATTCACTCCACTGAATGCATACATACCACTGAAAGTCCAGTACAGGTTTGATTTAGCAGAAGACCACTTGTTTAGCAGAGCATCCAATATGCTACACTAATGTTAGAAAAAAATAATTTTGCCTCATTATGCTTTCATTAGCAAAATATCATTTGTAACTTCTTTATTTGCCTGGATAGCCTAATACTACAAAATATCACAGCTCACAAGCCAATCGGAGATCTCTGTGTGATAAACAAGCCCTTCCTCACCCTCCCTGAGTTCTCACCTCTGAGCCAACAGATTCCACTAGAGGGGTTAACAGAGACATTGATGAAATGTTCAGTGACTCTTCCTGCTCATCCTCATCACTTTCACCTTCCAGGCTCATGCTCATTTCTTTCTTCAGCTTTTCTATGTCTGGACCATCCTCTTGAAGAATTTCAAAAATCTCATTTATCACTTTTGAGCTATTCATCTCCTCATCTGCACGCATTTTGCCCTCAAATACTTCATCTGAAGGGTGACATTTTAAAATATATTAGTAGCTTAAAAACTCTCATTAAACAAACAGAGAAGCAAACTCATTTGTCTTTTCAAGCAAGCTTGACTAAAAGGCACTTCTTACAGTCATATAGAACCTAAAAGCACACCTCCATGGCTATTTTAATACAATATTTTTACATATGTTGCATAAACAATGCAGAAAGGTAATGAAAAGATGCACATTTTAGACAAATTTCAACCTTTTATTTCAAATACATCTGAAACTTAACTGCAAGTCCAACAGTAGAGCAATCATTTCTGTCCTTTCCCAATGAACTTTTAATATCAGCTTTTTAATACTCCTCGAAGACTTGAATGGCAAGAGAGAAGGACTATGTATGATAAAAGAAGTTTCCTAATTTGTTTTATATAAACCTCATTACAAAACACATGGGGGTCAGCAAATGTATGGTGGATTCATTGTTCAGACTTGAAGGATATTAACACTGTCCTCAACAAGTGGCAATACAGAGCTAAGTCGTTAATATACATCTACTCAATACAAACCTTTTGGTTTCTCATCAAGTTGTTCAAGTTTTGAGACAGACATCACTTTTACAGGGCTCTTTGACTCAGCAATCTTCAGAGGACTAGGTTTATCAGCCTCTTCACATTTAGAAGTATCTAAAGGGTTTATAAAGAAAAGAAGTATTATGTCTAGCCTTTGTTTTAGTTATTGAATTTTAGAAGTTTTACTAACTAAAAGGCCACTAGATTAAATATTCTAGTTCATATTGAAAAAAAATTAGAATACCCTCCACAACCTGTACACCTAGAGTTCTATCTTATAATCAGAAAACTGACATCACAAGAAACATTGCTGAAACCATAGCAGAGTGCAGACGCTCAAGAGCAAAAAGAGAAAATTTTAAAAAGACAAAAAAAAAATCTAATACACAGAAACCACTGCAATTTTTCTAGAAGGACATTTGGTACATCTTACAAGCAAACAGGCTTCCAAGAGTGTTAACTATATTCACACTTTTATCACAGAGACCCAAAGATCCTTCTGCTCAGTAAGAGCCAGAAAGGATACCAGGAGCACCTCGCAATCCTTTTCATGATCCACTGAAGAACAAAAAGACGGTCTTGCCTTGCTGTCCTTCCAAGTGGTATAGGAGTGCAGAGTACTACTATCATACTAGAAGATTTAGATCAGATAACCAGTAACCAAATGAGAGGTCCAGTTCCACATACCAGTATTACTGGCCTCTGTTCTCTGCTCATGAATATCAAGTGCAGTGTCCCTGTCCAGCACTAATCTCAGGTAAACTGTGACAGTTCTCACCTGAAGACTCCACACTGGGAGATTTTGCTGGCCTGTCACTTGCTGATGTGTCTTCTGATGATCCAAGAGCAGAGGCATCTGAACTAGGAGGATGTTTTGGACTAGCCTGAGATTGGCTTTCCTGGCAAGAATAAAAGCAGAATGAATTCAGGAGGTAATGTCAAAACTGACTAAAAAAAACTACCAGAAAGAAACACATTTTAACATCTGCTAGGAAAAAGAGCTTTCCTATCCAGTACCCTATTTATTTATCTAATATACTTAGCTGAAGCAGTAAATATTAAATGTTTGCATGAAGAGCTCTTTTGCTTTTCCAGTTAAAGAATATAAAATCCCCCAAACTTAATATCATCAAAAAGTAAATAAATCAATTGGCTTAAAGCAGTTTCACTTGTCTTAGTTGTCTTAGCTGTTTCTACAGGAGGTAAAAATACTAATAATTTGTTAATCATACAAATCACTCAACAAGTGATCTTGTGCAGCCTGGGCAGTCCCAACATAAAGGTTTTTATCCCATATATACATTCCCACGTATAATTCTGTATTCAGAATATGTTACAGCAATTCAGAGTATCATATTTTGATTGATGAGGTAACACATTACCATTTTAGCTTCTGGAAGCTTCCTCTTTGAACTGTCACTTTTCTCCGCACTCCACAGATTGCCCCTATCAAATCGGCCACGAAGGCATGCAAGTTCCCGCTCACGTTCCTGAAGAAATGAAGGGAAATGGGAGGGAAGCTGACAGCTTTAAGGTGTCACAACATTTCAGATTCCTTCAATCCGAGTACAACAGTAACAACCTTCCCAAAGCTTGTAAGCTAGTTACGAAGGTAACAAGTCATACCTGCTTAAGCTGAAGCGCTAAACTGGCAGTAGAGGAATTTTCATTTTGTTTGAGAAGCCTCTCCTGGATTGTCCTTGTATTTGGGGTAACAACGGGTGTTCTGCACCCTGGAGTATTCGGAGCAGGGCTGCGTGCGCTACGCTCTTGACAGCGTTCCCCAAAGCGTTCCAGGAACGGCTTAATTCCTGATCCCCCTACAAGAACAATTGTTTTGCCTTGAAAGAAACTCTCAAAATTAAAGAAATCACTGCAATTTTGTATCCTGATGAAGGTGCCCAGTGAAGCAATTAAGCTTCCTTTACAGCTCTTGCTCTATTATACTTTATACAAACTGAACCTGAAACGCAAATTTTAACAGTCATGTTAATAAAACACTAAATCAAAGCAAGTAGATGTCTCTCTCTTCCTACAGCCCACATGTAATACACCAGTTATTTAAACTGGTTTGCCTTTTCCAAATTTCCTCTGCTACCAGCCTCACTTTTATTTTTCACAGAAATAAGCTTTCTAGTACATAAGGAGGATATGTTGTTTGGCACCCATCCTGCTTGATTGAGATTGTTTTACTGTCAGCATATCTAAAACTTGCTTTTCTGGCCATCATTTTTAAGAGTTCCAGCTGTTAGTCCAGGTTTCTGACATAATAAGCCACTGAATTTAAAACTGAGGTTGCTCACTTATTTTGACATCAATGCTATCACTAAAAATAAACACATGGCAAAGTTAGAGCACCTTTGTGGCACCAAGCTTTGATTTCTTCTAAATACGCAGGCTCTTAACATTCTATCAAATGGATACATACAGTCTCCAAGAATCTGAAATAAACTTTGAATAATCTTAGTTAACATGTTAGGCTGCTTTTGCTCTTAAGAGTTACTAAAACCACATCCAAGAAAACGTCCCCAGCAAAATACAGAACCTGTACAACTTACAAGAATTCATCAGCATTTTACTCAAGTTACAGCTGGAAAGGGGTATTATCTGGTATGGTAACTTAAATTCTTAACTAATATGTAGTTTTCAACACAGCACGCGTGGGCCTAATTCAAATGACTATTCACTGAAGCCAAAAAGCAGCCTACCTGGTGTTGTGGGTTTACCCTTAGGTTCAAGTTGCACATGTGTTCCTTTGACTGGCTCTGCTTTGGACTGAACTGGTTGAGGCAAAGCTGACTTCGCTGTTTGTGTACGCTCTTCAGTTTTCCAAGGACTGCAGGGATTGTCTGCTGCTCGTCGTTGTACTTCAGATTCTTTAGAACAGGGAGCAGTGACTCTTGAAGATTGTGTTAAAAAATTGTTTGGATCCTAAACAAGAGAAAAAGAAAAAAAAAGACGTTCTTAGTCTCTCAAGAGGAAAAAGAATGAAAGCACTTTGCATAGCATACTATCACCTAAAATACCTATTCCTTTAACAAAAAAAAGCCAAAAACAAGTGTTAAGCATTTAGTAACTTTTTTTTTTAATCCAGTATTTCAAATTGTTTCAGCATTTGATTCCAGGTGCTCTTGCCAGCTATTTCAAGTATTATCCCACATTACCCTAAACAAGAACGCACATAGCAGATATTTTCAATGCAGAAATTGCATAAATTGAACAGTAAGTGTCCGGTATTTACTTCATTGCGATTGAGTCTTTGTGCAGCAATAACATTTACAATTTCAGTCAATCAACTACATGAAGTTACAGAGTGAAACAATATCTCTGAAGAAGAAGCCCCCCTTCTGATGGTCAAGAGCAGCAATCAAGTATGTTGACATCAACAAAACACATAAGTACTCTCATCTTTAAGTCTCAATAAAAGGAATTCTAAGATGTTTCAGATCTGCTATTAAAAAAGAACATGTGGGATTACAATAAAGCAGAAGTTGTAAATAGACATACTGCCCACACCAAATCTTAAAATTCAGATTAAACAGTTATGTGCTAACATTTGTCCACCCCAATACAATACTCAAATCAATTTTTAATCAGCAACTAAATCAGACACTCACCGCTCTCTTTGAGTTTGCTGGTTTATTAATAGAAGCCTCAACAAGCCTTTGAGAACAGGATGCAGCTTCCTGCTTTACACTGCTACTATTGATTCTAGCAGATGCTTCACTTGTAGTGGACAATTTGGATAAACAAGTAGTGCCAGGCTGTTCTTGTGCATTGTTTTGCTTTGCAGATGGATGACTTAGGTCATCTTCCCAGGAACCAATTGTAGCAGCAAGGTTAGCTAAACGGCCTCTTCTCCCAATAGGGGTTTCACTTGCCAGGGCATTAGAGATCTGCTTAGGTGGAGAAACAGACAGATCTTTTGACAGGAGAGGAGACAGAGGAACACATTCAGAGGGATCTGGAAAAAAAGAAAAGACATTTATTTTACTAATAAAATATATTGAGATATAGTTGCATCTTTTGCATCATATTATATATTGAGATTATCAAGAATTAGATGTTCCTGCCATCAACAGAATCAAACTACTAGCCCTGGAGGCATTATGATTAAACAAATTAAATATTTTTAATCAAGCAGTTTACTAATTTTCTGTCAGTGTTGTGAGGAGCAAGGTATTAGACTAGTAGGAAAAAAAAGTTTAAAATTAAAAAAGAAAGTAAAAAAAAAGTTTAAAATTGTAGACAACAGCTTCAGTATTTTAGGCCTGCCCCCCTATTATCTTAGAATTCTTTAAGAAAACATTAACCTTCCCATACACGAAATTATGCTTTTCTAGCCAACATAATCATCAATGCAAACACTGAGAGACACCAGTGGTGCTTAGCAAGTGAAACATACCCTCACTATCCCAGCAGCGCCGCTGTTCTGCCAACTTCTGCATACGTGTTTTGACTGAAAGGGCTGCAGGAGTTTCCGACGTGGTGTTTGGTTTTACTTTCTCAAGAGGCTGAAGCAACGAAGCTCTGTTAGAAGCAGTTTCGTGTGATTCTGAAGTCATCTGAGGAGAAACATGGCTTCTGGAACTTGAAGGAACTGGCTGGACGTTCTCTGAACTCGATGCTTGAGTCTCTGTATCATTAGGGCAGAGCCTTTTTGATGGTGATGGCTTTGTATCTGGTTTTACTGAATAGGTCAGAGTATTCAAGCAAATTAGTATTCAAACAATCCAAAATGTTTTCCACCAACACAAAATTGTAGTGCAAATAAAGTTACGATTTATGAATACCCTGATATGCTTCCGACAAAAATGCCTCTCCCAAATCTACCAAGCACAAAGCACTCTCTTTGGCATTACACAATTATTTCTAAATAGCTTATTAATGACCTGGCACATCTGCTCTCAGGTCCAGCTATACATGAGCTAGTACTAGTGGCCAGATCACTGCATCTATCACTGTTTAATTTAGAATAAATGCACAATGTTTTCACTTTCCCTTTGGAAAAAAGATGTGACTGGGATCAAAACAATATTTATTAAACATGCTGCAAAATACCTTCGTCACCGGGAAGAGGTGCCTGGTTACCAGTTTCTGCCAAAGGCTCTCTGGCCCTCTTGGTCTGCATTGTGGGTCTCACCCCTGCCTTGGGCCGCTCTGCCATTTTCCTCTGCAGATTCTCTCGCCTGGCGCGCGTTCTTTCGAGGAGTTTCTGAGTGGTCAACAAGGCATGTGTTACCAGACATTGCAGTGTGTTAACTGGTAACAGCTCAGAGCAAAAGATGTTGGAATTCTGTTTAGCATATATAGCCAGCAGGTGCCAAATTTCAGTCATTAAATTAACTATTGTCCCTAACTAGGTAGGTTGGCTCTGAAAGAAACTCAGGATAAAGACACGAGCAATGGCAAAATTAAAGAACAGGGGCTGCTATAGACCGCAAAGTCATCAGAAATGTTCAAAAGTAATTTTTTTTATTCTGAATCACCACATGACAGTCTTGATCTGTCACATATTGCTAGCAGGATTTTCTGACACATTGCTAAAGCGTCTGGTCAAGTCACCTGACAGGAACTAACCCTCTAACAAAATAAACAACATTGAAGGGATTGTCAAGACATCGTAAAAAAGTTCAACAAACAAAAGCATGGCTGTCAATATTAAAAAGAAAAATTGCTATTACACCTAAATCAAAAGTTGGATTTCCTTGCTTCAAGCTTAAATTTTAAGAATAGACTGATATTATACCTAGCTATATTATGGTAAATAGCCTGTTTATTAAGATATAGCTATACAGAAAAACATACAAGGAGATACCAATTAAGCTACACAACATTCTTTTTCATTCCCTACCCACTGGAAATTTGAGTACCCTGCTTATGTTCCATATGAAATAGTTGTTTTAGTCAATGTTCCACACTATTACAAAGTGAATCCTTACAGTACTCAAGTTTAAAATAGGTTGCAATTTGTTTTAAATGTAGCATTTGTAAGTCATTATCACCCAGTTTGATCAAACCTAAAGGATACTTAATGACTCTTTTGATCTAAGCTTTAAGGTTGAGACACAAAATTGTGCAATTGAACTAATGGCCTTTGAAGGGAAGCATATAAACTGCACTTGTTTGGTGGCACATAAATTATTGTGAGAACTGTGCCAGCCATTATCTGTCCTGTGGCACAGCAATTAAATACACATTTCACATTTTTAACTGTCTAAGGCTGAAGTCTTAAACAATGTTCCATTGTAGGGCAACACAGGACAAATAGAATGGCAATCTCAACAGTTTTTTTGTGAAAGCAAATCTCAGCTTTGCTAACTTTCACAGAAGAGGAGGAATTTGGAAAAAAAAAAATCCCCAAAACAAAATGCATTAAATGCCATGAATGCCTTCAACGCAGCTTCCATGCTAGTTGTGTCCACAGGTCAATATTCCTCATTTCCAAAATGCAGAGCTACAAAGCACATGTAACACCCACACTAAAAAAATCCTAAAGGCGATTTAAATTAACAGTTTTCTTGCAAAAAGTGGAACATGTCTTACAAGAGTTCTTGTACTGTCCTACAGTTCTATACAAATGGAGTCGCATTCCTTTCTGTTTTGTTAGTTGAGCAAAATAGTTTCAGTTGTTACAAATGAGATGTCACTTCCCAAGAATGCACGCCTCTGTTGTTCAGCTCCAGCTCCTATTGGCTTCTTGCATCTCAAATTTTCCATTCAACTGCCATAATTCCAACGATGCTGCTACACACGATGAGTAAGCCACACTCCACAACTTGAGGCTAACTTTCCAAGTTCTTCAACACAGTATTTTCTACAAGTACATTCTCTTTGTCTGATGACAAAGTTTCAGAGTGAAATCTGAGGTCTAAAATCCTAGAATAAACTGAGATGGAAGAGACCCCCTAGAAGTCCAACTCCTGACCCTGCACAGAACAGACAAAATTACACATGGTGCCTGAGACCATTATCCATTTTACTACATCAAGGAATCTGAGCTCTTAAGTCAAAGTCAGAGGATCACTGTGTCACAAAAGCACTTTCTAAAATTCAGAGAAAAACCTTCCCACTTCAAATGTTAATGGACAACCTCAGTTTCTCAAAAGCATGTTTTAAAGTACATATTCGAGAAAATACTCAGGCCTATATATAATTACAAGAATTTCCTCTAACTACACTGCTTTACTAGCAGAATAGAGCAAAGGGAGCAATTGAAGGAACAGTTAACTTCAAACCTCACATTTGCAAATTTTCACCAAACAAATGCATCCCTTATTTCTCTTTGCTCATCGTCCATGCTAGGAAACCATACTTGACTCTATGAATGGTAAAAAGTACTGCAAAGTACAAAATAACCTAGACTACTTCTAACATTCTGTAGCAACAAAAACAAAACCTTTTGTGCAAGAAGGGTGAGTTACAAAATCAGCCACAAAGTCACAAATAGCATGGTCATTGTGATCTTGAAAGAGTACCCACTGTACCATTTCCTCTGTGCAATCTGTATTAAAAATTTGGTTGGGATTCAGAAGGTTATTAGCTTTTTTTGCAAGATTAACCAGAAGAAACATTATTTTAGAACTGATTTGAAAGCATTCCACTGAATACAGACAGATTTACTTGAGCTTAAACTCACTGACAAAGAGACAAAATTTGATACTGTAAAGGGATCAGCATACACTGAATTACACAGTATGATTTGGCCAACTACAGCCCGAATTATGCTGTTTTACATAATCAACATTTATAATGCTTCACCAAGTCACTGCAAGTAACAGAGCATGGAAACTTGTAGACAGATATTATCTGAAAACAGTTAAACTAATGGAAGGTTACATAAAAAAAAAAAAAATAAATAAAATAGCAACACAAAACACAGAACATAAAAATCAGTGGTAAAAGACTTTCTTTTTACAGAACTTTGGGGAAAGTTACTAAACTTCAATACTTGGACACTAGCATTGGTCAGAACTTTACACAACAGTGGAATGTCCTCCACAGCAGAAATGTTCTTGATAAGGTGATTTCTTATGCACTCTGCAATACTGGCTAACACATGAATGAAGTTTACTCTGGGGAGTGGCCTCACAGTTGGTCATTTTCAAAGTATTTCAAAGTCAAGAAGGGCGTGTACAGGTTGGAATATCTCCCAGGATGCAAAACCATTTTAAACTTGATTCAGTAGTCCGGACTCGAAGTTTATTTAAGGCAAGCTGGATCATGTCACTCATTACCAATTAAGGAAGGAGGTTTTAGGTGTTTACACTTCGCAAGACTACATGGGGGTAGGGTAGAACTGCCATGGAATAACACATTTAGTAAGTCTGTTCAGATCAACACCTTATGTTCATTTTTCAAAATCAGATCTGTGAAGTCACCTTTTCCAGGCACTCAAAAGAGATAAAGAATGTCAGTTTGCTAAACAGTTTGTTTACAAGGGGAGGAGAGAGTATTACATCAATGCATATGATTTGAGGTTGTTTTCAAGTAGTTCAGGTTTTATTTACACAGGCTGTGGAATGAAGACCCTTTTTACTATGGCATTTCTCAAAGCAGTCACAAGACAGCTTTAAAACTATACCTCTGACTTGAAATCAGAGTACAGCATAGCATCTTCATACAGATTCAACGTGGCCAATTCCTCATTTTACAGTTTCGCCTGTGTAAATCTTAAACACAGCCAGTTTTTTTTAAAAAAAAAACAAAAAGAGGAACTGTGCCTGCCAAAGAAAGTGACCAATCGCAGCTGGCAAGAGTGCCAAATGCACTTTGCATTTTTTATAAAATATAAAAATGCCAAATGCATTTCTTATCAGACGGTCTCGGCTTTGGGCAGACTTATGATCCGACCTTTAGGCAAGGCAGGCACATAGCATCGACAGCGCTCCCGTCTGCTCCCAGGGTCCCTTCCATCCCCGCTGGAAATCTTATCTGCCAGGTTGCATGAAAGGCAAGCGCCCGGCTTGGGAAGGGCCTCTCCTCCGCAAACCCTTGTGCCAATCACCCGTGCGTGCTCTCTCCTGTCCCGGCAGGATCTGACACAGCCCGGGCGGCCCCAGGAGCGGAGGCACCGGCAGGAGCAAGGCGGGCCGGGGCAGCGAGGGGCTCCCCGCTGCAAAGAAAGGGTCGCTGCAAGCCCGCAAACCCCGCTGCGAGAGGGGACGAGGGTGGCTGACAGGGCTCAGCCAGGAGCAACTATCCCGCCCCGAGAGCGCGGCACAAGGAGCGGCTCCCCTCCCTTCAGACCCCAACCGGCCCCTTCCCTGCCCTATGACCCCGCGGTCCCCGACACTGACAACCCGCCGCCCCACCAGCTGAGGAGGCGGGGGGGCCGGGCCGGGCCGTGTCCTCACCTCGGTGAAGGGGTCCATGGCTATGGCTGTGCCGGTGCCCGCGCAGGGTTCGCTCCCCAAAGCCACCGAGAGCAGCCGAACCTCCGCCCCAACCGCTCCCGGGATTTGAATTTCAGCGCCCGCCGCGCGCAGGCACGACGGGAAGAGGGGGCGGTGCCCGCACGCGGACGCTGATTGACAGGAGCGCCGCCCAATCCGACAGCAGGCGGCTGCGCGCGCGCCCGCCC